TATCCTCCCAGATGCCAGAGAACCTGGCCTCCCCGGTCAGTGTCACAGCAGGGAAGCCCCGGACACGCGGGAGGCCCCTGATAAACAGAGCGAACCCCAAAATAGACAGACAGGGCAGTGAAGCTTGTGGGACCAGCCTTGCCCTCAGGACCTGGGTTTGGGACAGGATCGGGAAGCCTGGCCTTGCCCTTAGTGTAGAGTCTCGGAGTGGACACTGGGGGTCGGGACAGGATTGCCTCCACGACCCTGAGGTCCTAGGAGGCGCGAGGAGGCAGGGACTGGGGAAGGGTCACGTCTGAGCTCAGGAGTCCAGCACAGCCACAGACACACAGGCCTCAGTGTGTGTGGTGGGGCCAGCAGCAGGGAGAAAGGTCCCTCGGGCTTCACAGAAGCAGGTACCAGACAAGGAGGGATGTCCCCTGCAAGGCCCTGGCAGTGCTGGAGGTGGGGGAGGGGCCGGCACTGTCGGAGGAGCTTCCCTGCCCAGGGCTCCCGACTCACAGAGGGACTCTGCCCACCTGGCCCCACCTGCCTCCTGCGGGCCCCGAGGTGGGCACAGCCCTCCCTCCTCCTGGGTCTGGTCCCTGTGGCCTCCACATCTGGGGACTGGTCCTCATGAGACCCCCGAGGGGTCTCTGCCGAGAGTGCACATCCTATGCCCCACGGGGTGTGGAGGCCCCACCCCCAGGGTCTCCCTTCGCCTCCTTCCACCAAGGCCTGGGTTCCCCTGCCTCCCACCCGCCTGCAGCCTGGGCTAGGGAGGCTGCGCTCCCTCCCGTGAGGACGTGCTGGCCTCAGGACAGCGGCTGTTCACGCCCTTGCCCTCCCCACATGCCAGGCTCAGGCCCCCAGGCCCTCCGAGTCCAGGCCAGCCTCCCTATCTGCAGGATGGGCCTGGGGCCACTTTGCCAGGACACATTCACACCGACCGAGCGGCCGGGTGGCCGGGGCACAACTATCAGGGGTCTTGGCAGGGAGACCCCCTTCGGCTGAGTCCTGAGGTCCCGGGACCCTCCCACCGCCCTCCAAGCCCCTGCCAGCCCCTGGGGCCCCGGGCCTGTGCCCCAGTCCCCGTGCTCCTCCTGGGAGCCCACCTCAGACACCCCTCCTCCCCGCCCACTCACGGGCCCCGAGGACCTGCACACGTTCCAGACCCGGAACATGTCACGCTGAGGCAGACGGTGGGACAGCCAGCCTCCACAAGGTCATAATAGCCCCGCTGCTCCTGCTTCAGCCTGAGGAGAGCCTGTGGCCACGACACAGCCCTGACAACTGCCCGCTCCTGGCCACCATGTAAATACAGCTCCCGGGCCCTGGGCCACTTCCTGGCCTCGGGGGAAAACAGTTTCTTCAAATCATGCCCTTGAGGACCCTGAGTCCCAGATCCAGGCAGATGTGGCCAGAGCGCCTGGCCCCGGTTCAGAGCCGAGTTGCCGCAGACAAGTTCCCAGGCCACCACACCAAACTCTCTCGGGGACTGAGTGTTGGCTAATTCAAATCTGGGGGTGTCTTGATGGTTCTCCAGGGGGCCAAGACCTGTAAAGGCCTCCAGGACATTCTCTCGTGAGAGCAAGTCTGCCAACAGCCGGCCACTTTCCTTGACAGCCTGGCCCAGAAGCAACCTCTCTGGCCCACCCTGCGTGCCCACAGCTCCCTGGTCTCTGGGAGGACCCCAGCAGAGCTGTGTCCTGGGGGTGCCCCTATCAGCCCTCGGAGAACTCAGGTCCCAAGGGTGGGGGCTCCCGTGGGCCCCACCTGGTCCCCCTCCGGCCATGTCACAGGAGAGAGATGGCTGCTGTGCAGAGCCAGTCAGCATCCACTCCAGGGACCCAGAGGCTGGAGTATCTGGGCAGCCTTCCATCTCAAGGGGAGGGGCCCTGGAGCGCTGTCCCTTCCTCGTGGTCCATGGCTGCCCTCCTGCCCTCAGAGAGACATCTCAGCACCAGGAGTCTGAGTGAAGTCATGGTTTGGTGCCACTGGCCTTGCTGGGATGTGGCAGGGCAGGGCAGGACAGGTAATGTGCCAGCACCTGTGTCCATGGTCCCAGGCTGCCCTCCCGGGCATGGGGTCCCCCAGGGGGCTGGGCTGCAGAGCCAGGGCAGGCGAGTGTCTACAGAGGACTGTGGGAAAGGCCCAGGCTCGCCTGGGACTTCAGGGCCATCAGAGTGTGAGCTGGCCCTCCCTGAACTCCAGGTGATACCCTACCCGTCCCACAGCGCCACAGGCTGCCGCCTCTCGGGGCCCAGGCTGGCCTTGGGGTGGGTACCCAGAGCAGGCGGATAAGTGGTGTGTGGGCAGATACCAGATGACTGAGGGCGGGAGAGGCCTATGGGCCACAGAGAAGCCTGGTCAGCCCTTCCTGAGAAACGCTCAGAGCTTGAGGGCCCTGGGCGGGGCGGCAGGCACCTGTCTGAGGCCCAGCAGGTTCCAGACTGAGCTCCTCCCAAGAGTCCGGAGTGGACAAGGCTGAGCAGACACACCCTTGCGTGTAGGGAGCTGTGCGCACCCCATCTGTCTGTCTGTCTGTCTGTCTGTCTGTCTGTGGGACTCCTGAGTCCTGCAGCTGCTGTCCCCTCCACGTAGTCACCTCAAAGCCTCTGCCCCAACAAAGGCCTTGCTGAGATGCAGGGTCAGGGCAGACGACAAGGCTCTGGGAAGTGTGTTCTCAGGAAAGGATGTGCCACTGCAGCCAGCGAGCTGGGGACGACAGCCTCAGATGCCACAACCTAACAAGGCCACATGGAGTCTCGTCCCCAGCACCACAAGGGCCTGCACTTCCCTGGCTTCTGCTGTGAGTCCTTCTCTGAGTGTGCGCATCTGTGCCCGTGAGGCCGTGGGGGGATGAGTCTGTTTCTTAGTGTGTGTCTCTCTGTCTGTCCCCCTCTGTCCATGTATCCTACACTTAGACTTCTTGACCTGTTTCCTTGGGTTCCCCGGTCTCCATCCCAGCCACCCTGTCTTTTCTATGATATTTTTCTCCGGCCATTCTGCTCAGAGCCTCTGTCTCCCCAGTCGCCTTCTCTGCCCGACTTCTAGACAGCCTGGCCCCCCATCCCTCCTCTCTCCCTCCTGCCCAGTTTCCCCACATCCCTCTCTGTCTCCAGTGTCTGGGGCATTTCTGGTCATCTTTCTCTTGGGCTGTTTACCCGCTGCATCTTCTCTGGGTTAACCTATTTCTAGATGGCTTCCAGAGTTTGCCAGGCCTGGGTCTGGGGCTCTGGTCTGTCTCTCTCAGAATCTTCTCTTGGTCTCTGCCTGTCTCCTTCTCACCCACACTCACCCTGAGAGACCAAGAAGACACTCACCGCAGGGTGCAAAAATACGGGAACAGGAAACAAGGTCTCACCCGGAGGTCACACGCGCCGGACCCCAGCAGCACTGGCACTTGAACGGGGGCAGGCAACGCTGGGCCTGGGGGCCCTCAGGAGTGGCTGCTGCCCAGAGGGTGCTCAGGGGGCCTCCGGCTGCCTCCTCTTGGCACCCACGTCTCTGGTGAAGCCTGCCCCATCGCCGCCACAGGAGAAACTTTGGGTTGACACGGAACAAAGGGGATCCAGGCTGGCAATTACCCAGCTAATTTCAGCCACGTAGACAGCCAAATCAGATACTTCAGTTTTCTTACAAGCCCACCTCGAGGCCTGAATTAGCCACCTAATTAATTATCTGTGCAGCCTGGGACTGGCTGGGTGGAATCTGGATCCCTCCCAGAGCCTGGATGCTGCTTGTCCCTGAATCACGTCCTGGTGACGTAATCATTATAATTAGACTCAACCTGCAGCCTATCCTTGACCGCAGAACCTCAGGAAACATGGCCCCGCGCCAGGCCCAAGCATCTTTCCATTTAATTTGTGTTAAATGGAAACGCAGTCACTCTGCAGGAGACCAGCCCACATGGGCGATGCCCATCCTGGGCACAGTGGCACAGGCCCCTCTGTCTTGCCCCCGTTTCTAGCACAACAGACCCCACCACTCCCCACCTCTGGTGAAAGGCACGCAGTCACTCCTGCCAAGAGGTGGCCTCGCTGGGCGTCACCTGACTCAGTCTGTGAATGGCATCAGGTCAGGGTGTGGCCCTTGGAGGCCACGTGTGGTCCAAGGGAGGTGCTGTCACACAAGGAAGCCATCTCCAATGGCAGAGTCAGGCCCCAGCCACAGGCGCCCACCACCAGGAGCCCCGGGAGCTTGCACTGCACCCGGCAGCTGAGGTGTGCAGGGTGGGCCCCATGGGCCTGGGCTGAGCAGACTGATTTGCCAGGATGCGTCTGTGCCATGAGGACCTCAGCACACTGCCCCACCCACCTCCTGGGCCAGGGTCTCAGCCCACTGTCCGACAACACCCTCCTCTCCTGGTCCAGGGTCTCTGGCCATGATCGTGGCCTTGAGCCACGTAGGCTCAGGATTCCCTTCAAAAGCAGTCAGCAGGGTTGGAGGGGGGCAGTCTCCTCCCTCAAAGCACAAATCAGAGCTGCACTGCCTCCATGCTAGGGCTGAGCTCACACAAGCTACCCAGTGTCTCTCTCCTGTCCCTGTGCTCAGCCAGCCCGGGCTCCCTGTGCACGCTGCCACCCCTTCTCCAGCAACACTGCGAAGTCCTTGGTGGATGCCAAGGTCCCGCCCAGCTCCTCACTCCCACTCCAGCTGCCGTGGCCACCCTGCGGCCTCCGGCAGCTCTGCTTACCAGAAGCAAGATGCCCATGGGTGCTACCAGATTTGGCCGATTAGATAGGCCCCTGGTGCCCCCCAAACCCACCCTGGGGTGTGCTGCAAGGCCGAGAGGAGGTGCTCTGCTGGGCTTGGCTGGACCGCAGCACACCAGCATGCATCCCACAACCCCAAGCTGGCCAAGGTGATACAGGAGGTGCTGACTTTGTCCCCTGACTTTCCAGAAGGAGCCTGAGGTGTGCTTTGCAGGGCTTGTGTGGTGAGGTCTGAGGTGACCACGTGCTACACATGACCCCGTGTGTTCAAGTGCCCCTGGGTGTGCAGCGTGCGCCCCCTACCTCCCAGGGCCTGTTTCATCACGAACTCCATGGCGATGGCTTTGTGTCCTCAGCTGGTCCTCAGCGAGTCGTAGCTCACATGTGAGTGTGGCCAGGAGTCCTCTGCCTGGGGGAAGACGTGGTCACAGGTCACCCGACTATGCTGGGGAAGGCTTCCTCCTTGTCCCCACCCAACTTCCCCTGGCCGTGGGTCTGGGGTCAGAGAGAGCCTCATTCATGGTTCCCCCTCACACCTGGACTCCAGACATCAACACTGGGACAGATACCTGGGAGGGTTTGGGAGGGTCCTGCAAAGAGGTCTCAGCTAGCCCCTGGGGTTTCTGAAGCTGGCTTCCAGCTGCTACTGCAGGGAAAGGGGTGTGCAGCTCAAAAGAGCCAGACTGCGTGAAGTGGGGGCAAGCCCAGGGGCATGTGGAGGTGACTGGCTCTCCTGTCTCCTTAGTGGAGCCCTGGGCCACAGAGGTGGGGACCCATCTAAAGGATGGGAAGGGTTAGTGCAGGTGGGACCCGAGTGGGTGCTCCCTTTGGCTTCTGATGGAGTCTCGGGAAAACAGGTTCCCTCCAGTGGGGGAGACCAGCACTGCTGCAGAGACAGGTGGAGGGAGAAGCTGCAGGGGCCCAGCCTTCAGGGAACCAATGAAATGGGGGGGGGCATACCACCCCTCCACCTGCATCTGCATGGGTGGGGTTCTCTAGGGTCCAGGCCAGCTGGAAATCTGGTGGGGAGGTGCTTTCTGTAAAATCAGCAGCTGCAGTGTTCCCCCCCTCCACTACCTCTGGTGAGGTCGCTCTTGGCAGGGAAACCCAGGTCACTGGAGAGCCACTGTTTTATGTGTTTTTCCTCTTCAAATGAAGGAAATAAGGAAATCTGCGTGTGTGTGGACTAGGGAGACCTGGGAGTGGGGGCGGGACTCCCCCATCTTCCGACAAAGCGCTGGGGCACAGGGACGCCTTTGCCGCAAAGCAGATTCTCTTCCAAACTTCTCCCCTGGCTCCTGACAGGGAGGCAGCCGCAGAGCCCAGCAGCAGAGAGGTCGGGGCGCTGTTGGAGCTCCCCCAGTGCTCTCATCGCCGCCCTGCGCGGCTAGGGGTTCCTGCTGCCACCCCACCCCTTGGCTTCATGGGCAGGCGAGTTGCCCAGCTCTGCCAAGGGGCCCTCAGGCGGGAGCGCGCCAGGAGAGAGAGAGAGACAGAGGACGAGGGAGGAGAAAGGGAGACGCGAGAGACATGAGACTCGGGAAAGGAGTAAGAAAGAGCGAAGGCGTCAGCCAGGACTGTGGGGCCGTTTCAGCACCGCGCCAGTGGACAGCGCCAGCCAGGGGCCCAGGATGGGGCACCGGGGCGGAGCGCGCGCCAAGCCCTGGCCGGGAAGGGGCCGCAGAGCCAGGGAGGGGGCAGCTGGGGCCCGGGAGGGGGCAGCTGGGGTCAGGGAGGGGGCTG